TATATATCGGACTATGAGAGTGAGGGAATAGAGAGTGCACCTGTTCTTGCGCATACACTAGGGCACTATAATCCTGCCCTGCGCCGATGGCAGTTTTCGTTGAGGCTGGCCGCCATGAACGAAATTCGGACTGGAAGACATTATTATATTATTTGTTTATTTATTATTTTTGAGTTTATATTAAAGTATGGCTTCTCAAAAATTCAAAAGATACTGCTTGGCATACAGGTGCTTAAATAACAAAGGAACCTAAGGATACCGAAAGGTAAAATATTATAATTTACAGATAGATTTAGATAATTAGGTATCTAGTTACTGGCTCCTTAGTAACGGATTTATTATTTGACCAGCGGCCCGACCACAGCTTCGCAGTTTTCGATTTTTTCGCTTACAACGTTAATGGCCTTAAATATTTTACTGTACCTTATATTAAATATTTTATTATAACTTAAATATTTTAACTTCTCATTCTTTCATTAATAAAGCCGTCGCGTAACACGTATTTGTAAATGGCAAAAAATATGTTAAACAGAAAATGATAAGTTTTTTTTTTCGTTACCTCTACACTAGGATTTGCTCCTGTATCGTGGGGGCAGTTTACAAACATAAATTGCACAGGGAAAAACATCCAGACCCAGAACAATTATTTGTAGGCCATACAAATACTTGTTCCGTGCGGGATTCAAACCCGCGATCCCCAGCACAGCCATTCATTGCTAAGCCACTGCGCCACGGAGTCGTCTTAGTTAAGTAGGAAAATTAGAGTTTCAAAGACGTTAATGTTGTTATAATTTTAATATTTCTCGATGTTGCATACTAACCTTCCTCATATTAAGCAATATTGTTCTTATTGTCAGCAAATTACTAATACATTGCATAACACCTCGGTGTATTCTTCTACCAACTCATATCAAAGGATTGAATTTGTTTTCAACACCAAACCCTTCAGTAGGAGCGGCGTTAATAAAGGCGTGTAACGGGCTAAGTGATAGACTCTCGCACGCGGCCGTAAGGTGCATTTTGATTTAATACGCGCGCCGCAACAATCGGTAGGCTATTTTAACGAAGGCAGGCGTGCTCATTACTAGCACGAAAGCATGCTTTTATTAAGCAAGTGATCATTAGTAGCACGTGTGTACACTCATTGATACTAATAAGCATGCTTATTTTGAGCGTGCTCTAAAGTCAACCGACGTTTGATTTTCGGATTATTTTATCGAGTTCTGTACGGATAGCACTGCCACTATATCTTTGTACATCCATTTTGATCGAGAGCCTGGTGCTAAATAGCACGTCTGTCTAAAGTTTGCTTTGAGCATGCTTAATTGTGAGTATGGTTTAAGCGTGCTTATTGTTGACAAATGTGAGCAGTTGCAGAGCATGCTAATTTTAAGCAAGCTTATGAGTATGCTTTTTTTGAGCACGTCTGTCAGTACCATAATGAATATTAGTGACATTGTAACTGGGTTTAAATTTGCAAGTTTGCTATTAGAGAGTAATTCTTCTGTTCTTGTAGTATTATTTATTCTGTGCTTTTACGGACTGGGGACCGTCCAATATGCTGTAGTTGAGTAGAATTACATGTTAAATTTTATCTCGCTTTATAATGAATTTATAAATAGTTTCTAATAATAATTTTTATGCCTACCACATACTGCAACCCTTTAGGCGTATTCAAAAGATCGGAATGAACTTATTTACACACTACACTAATTGATATTTACAAAATTGTAATAATATGTTATTGTTATTTACCTTTTTAGCGATATCGCAGTAATTGTTAAAAATGCCTACCGCTACATTCTATAGACAAACTAGCACGTCTCGGTAAATTATTTGTTAAATTTCGAAGCGTATCTCTATAACTTTTCTCTCTCACTCTCTAACTCTTTGTCGCTTCTTCTGTGTACACTAATAGTTTTAATCCGCCCCAAAAATAAAAGTCTAGAGGTATTGAGTCTAGTAATCTTGCCGGCCAGTTCACAGATGCACCGCGACCTGTCCACCTATCACCGAATTGACAGATCGTTCGTAATTTGCTGGAACTCCGACAGGCGGGGAAAACATTCCTTGCAGATGGCTCAGAGGAATGTTTTCCAACATTGTGTCTATGACGGAACGTATCGTTTGCAGATATGTTATTTCCGTCAATTGACCTTCACCCCGTATTGGAATAATGATGTAGTCGTTAGTGAGCCATTGAACTGCGCCTGATCTCGCCGGTTGTGTCCGATTGAGAAATATAAGTGAAAAACATATAAAGAATCCGATAAAGAAATAGAGAGTGCACCTGTGTTTGTGCATACACTCGTGCACTATAATATTCTCCTGCGCAGATGTCTTGTCTCCGTTGAGACTGGTCGGCGTACTTGCGAAATGAGAAGGGTTTTTAAGAATTTGTGATTGACACGGTCGTGGTCTGGCAATGAGTTTCGCGAGTTACAAGATACTCAAAACGCTTACAGTTATATGTTAATGATAGTACGTGTAAGTCTCGACGGCTATGGACAGGATGATATTCCAATTGAATGGTATACTCTAAAACACGTCACAATAACGCGACCAATATTTTTTTTTGTAGGATAAGGGTAACAAACGAGCACACAGTTCACTCGATGGTGAGTAGAGCTGTGGCCTGTGGCCCGTAGACATCTACATTTAACCTCAATTAAGAACCAAAATTCAGTTGCGTTGGTCATCCCTGAGGACTAAGATGGAACGCCTCGTATCGAGTCAAAAGATCTCCGGACATCTATAATCACCATACGAAACACATCAGCATTAAGCTGCTATTTGACGCTGGTATTCTGTCAGGGCGTGATCCTTCCAAGATAGAACCGACCCATTCTTGCTCCAACAAAATATAGCTGCAACATGGCTCTACCACGTAAAAAACTGTACTGTACTATATGCGGTAGTAAATAATATTTTAAAACATTGAAGTTTTTTATTAGCAGAAAATTCTCCTCATTTTTATATGCGGACTTCTTTCTTACTTCTTACAAGTTCTGTTGCGCTTCACTCGTTAGTCTTTGTGACGAACAACGATCGAACATTAATATGTACATCACATGTTTACCTTAATCTGCTCCCTGCATTTGGTACGTATATCACGTAGATTCTACGTCGTAGAAAATAGGATCGACGAGAAAATCGTTGCAAAAACCATGCGGAACCTATACTTTTTATTAATTATTAAAGCATTACAACGGTTAATAACAGCGATATTAAATTGTAATATAATTTAATAAGGAGTTATTCCTTACTTTTAAAAAGGCAAAAAATAATGTTGCCGTCGCGTTTATTGTTGTTGCATTTGTTGTTGCCATTTAAATAATTTATTTATTCAGAATACAGCATTAGTAAATTGTAATGTAATAATTTTATTGACGAATTATTCTTTTGTGTTTCGTTTTAAAAAAGGCAAAACATGTCACCGTCTCGTTAATTGTGGCTTCATTTCTTGTTGCCATTTAAATAATTTATTTATTCAGAATACAGCATTAGTGAATTGTGATGTAATAATTTATTGACGAATTATTCTATTGTGTTTCGTTTAAAAAAAGACAAAAGATGTCACCGTCTCGTTAATTGTTGCTTCATTTCTTGTTGCCATTTAAATAATTTATTTATTCAGAATACAGCATTAGTGAATTGTAATGTAATTTAGAAACGAGTTAATCCTTTGTGTTTCGTTTTAAAAAAGGATAAAAAAAAATTGTCATCGTCTCGTTAATTGTTGCTTCATTTCTTTTTTCCAGTTAAATTATTTATTTATTTATTCAAAATGCAGCATTGGTAAATTGTAATGTAATTTACAAACGAGTTGTTTTTGTGTCTCGTTTTAAAAAAGGCAAAAAAATCTTGGCACCATTTCGTTTATTGTTGTTTTATTTAAAGTTGTCTTTTAAATAAGTTTCAGATGTTTTGAGAATTCCTTGATTTTTTTAATGCAAATGCGTAAATTGGATTTGAGCTTACTATAAGCAACCAACTCCAACTTGAGAGCTAGTATGATGTTAATATTTTATATATGTAAGGATGACTAATGAGCACATATTTCACATTTATCATCGATTAAGAATCCAAATGTTCTTATGGATTTTTTAGGGTGGAATGACCAGTAAAAAGGGTCTGGTACTTTATGGTCTCACTTCGTCAGAAACAACAGCATTATTCTGTTTTACTGTGCTGTGGCCCTTATCCAGTCGAGCTGATCCGTCAGTACTGCTGCCACAATACAGCTGCAGCGTGACTCTAGCACTTATAAACTACAAGAATTACCTAAATTACCTATCATCGGTATCGTATTTATCATTGATATTGTAGTCAATCCCGTACCCGCTGCCACAATGGGAGATTCTAAGCTACAACATTAATAAATAAAATTTTAATAAAATAATTTTTTTATATAATTAAGGCATCGCTCCCAGCGCTTCATAGATTGTCTATTTTTCATACAATTATGCAGCTATACAAGTTTTATTTACGCATAAGTTATTTATTTATAATAGAGCTTTAGTACCTAGACCTAGTTTCTTCATGTCATATTTACAGATCCTATAAATATGACATGATGGAACATAGTGATTCCTACGAGGAATTTTGGTTATTTCAAGAGACGTTTTTACCTTAATGTTTAGATTGGTGGTAGGACTTTTTCTATTTAGGAGGTTCCAACCTTTTATTTTATTTATTTTTTATTTTTGTTGAAAAACGTTACCCCTACACTAAGATTTTCTCTTGTATCTTGGGGGCAGTTTACAAACGTAAATTGCACAAGGACAAACATCCAGACCCGGAACAACTATTTGTAGGCCATACAAATACTTGTTCCGTGCGGGATTCGAACCCGCGACCCCCAGCGCAGCCACTCATTGCTAAGCCACTGCGCTACGGAGTCGTTTATCTAAGTACCACTGTTGTGTTTGAGTTTGAAGGATCCTCTTCAACGTAGTTTCGTTCGTCTGTAGTTTTTTTTTCTTTGAAGGTTTTTGTATATGTCAATGGTAGGTACTGATTATAAGGTGGATTGTTAGTGTGTTACTCTAATAAATTAAAGGTTATTATTTTACTAAAAAGTTTTTGCTCTTAGATAAAGAAACGTTCGGAAATAAAACTATATCGCGTTTATTTTTACTTATTTTTTATTTTCGACGTTTTGAGTAATAAAAAACCAATAGTCACGCGGGAATGAAATGTTTGACGTTCTGATGCCAAAGTTAATCCGGGCTACTTTGAGCTTTATTATTAATTTTGGTCCGACATACGCAAAATGAGTTCAGTGTATCTTGAAGTTTTATATGCATGGGCTTCGATTTAATTTTAACAATAACAGATGGTAGCACCTTCTCGACTGGAATAAGGATGTTATGTAAAAATTGATTTCAGTTATGGCGCACTAATCGCTTAAATATAAAAAATCATTATGCATGAGCACAAGTGTATTTATGAGTTAATACATTTTGTGCGAGCAGCTACGCAGGTGCAATAAGTCGAGCGTGATCTATTGTAGTCGCCGTTAAGGCTATAGTTATTTGCTAAGCCCTATCTTTAATGAATTAAAGGAATTGCTAAGCTCTGACCATTTTTACTTATTCTGCGTTACGTATCTACATAGTTTCTCAGATGTGTTTTGTATAGGCGCATTGAAGGTCCACATTCAGTTAAGATGATTGTTTTTTTAATTATCATCAAGTGGACTTTAAGTTCGTTTGTCTTTTCAACTTTATTTAAAAAAAAGTGACAAAGTTCTTTTGTTTCGTCACAGTGCAGTACTCAACAACCGTTACCGTGACAGTCTATTAAATTATTATATTATTTTCTATAAATTACTTTTATTATTTATTAATATTAAAGTCCACTGCTAAACATAGGCCTCCCCACAGATTGCCTCATAGAGATTTTATTTCCCAGTGTGGCACGTTTGTCAAGCGGGTTCGCAACCACAGTTTTTTATTTTTGGTCGTTTTTAGGAAGACGCTGCTGCCCATCTCCTGGTTCGTTTCCATCAGCAATACACCATGACTTGTTATATCATTTGTACGTAAATTGCATAATATTCAATTTATTTTTGTCCGCAGGGCATATTCCGTTTGGCATGCGAGCACGTGCTTCGTACAATGCGCCGCGGCCGGGAGACGTTGTTGACGTTGCTCGAGGCGTTCGTCTACGACCCGCTGGTGGAGTGGGGCGGCGTGAAGAAACGCCGCGGGATGAGACCCGTGCGCGCAGCGCGTGCCATGCTCGCCGTGCGAGTACGCGAGCTTGAGCACTCCCTCGACGAGATTACGTAAGTCCTGTTGTACCTGTCTATTTTTTTGTTTTAAAATAATACCATTAATCAGGTACGTGTTAAAGCCAAGATCTCACAGAATACTAGCGTAAAAAGAAGCTCAATACTGCTGTCTTTCGTATGGGGTGTGTGGAGAACCTGAGAGCCTTTTTATGTAAACGAGACATTATATCTTATTGGTTAGGGGTGAGAATGCATCTGAATTTTTAATTTTAATCGCGGATAGATGTAGATGAATATGAAGTACAATGTCATCATTTTACAAGGGACTTTTTCGATCAGTCTGTTTTAAAGTGTCACAGGATAACTTTAAAGCTTTGTCTTCGATCTTTTTCAATATAGGTCTTAAATAAGATAAGAAATATGCAAAGCTGCACCGGAGATTACACCGTTGTCTGTCTGGATTGCGCCTCTTTGTTGCCGGCTAGACTGACGTATTTACAGTCGCGCAAACTTACTGAATGGCCTCTAAATTGAAGAACTTGATTGCTCAAAGCTAACAAAAAGGATTCCGAGTAATGGTGAAGCGTAGATGAAACGGCTAGATTACGCGACGTAAATGAAAGAAATAATATTAGGTTAGGTTTATTGTTCCACATAAAAAGGAAAGAATTAAACGTGCTTCAGGTTTAGTATTGCTTCAAGAATTTAAAATAGAAAAATAAAAAATAACAAAAATAAATTGTAACTAGGGTTTAAAATATTTTTTATATTGAACACCGATTTTTTATATGGAACATCTTCCACTTCTTAGTAGGTATGATTTCATAAAGTTTAAGTAATTGTGACTGTAAGTATGGTATAAATACAGTAATTGTCCATTTTAAGACCGTTATATAAACTTCTTCTTCTGTTCTTCTACATCTACACTTTTTTGTAGAATAAGGGTAGCAAACGAGCACAAAATCCACCTGCTGTTAAGTGGATACTGTGGCCCATAGCATCTACATTTTTATTCGACTAAGAATCAAAGTGCAGAATCTTGGTCAACCCTGAGGACTAAAATAGAATATCTCGTATCTAGTAAAAAGGGTCTTCAGTTCTCTACACTAACGGTACGAAACACAGCAGCATTAAGCTGCTATTTTAAGCAGTATTTTGTAAAAGTGTGGTTCCCCGGTCGTGCCGATACATTCATGCTACAATCATAACATATCTGCGAGATGGCTCTACAATATAAAAAATTAATAAATTTACAAATGTACGGCCTGTGATGCATTCCATTGTTAAATTTGTCGATTTATTTAATATTAATGTTTTTTCATTGTTTTATATTTGCATGAGTATGCGCTACTTGATATACTGAGTAATGCGTTATCTTTTATTGTTCCGTAGAAAATGAATTTAATTTGCTTTTATATCTTCCTGTACTGAGTCCGACGGATAAACACCGATGACATATTTTAACGTGCTTTCAATAGCTGTTCGAGTACAAACCGGTATAGTTGAGCGATAAAAGCATGTGACAAAGGTCTCGTGGCACAAGATTATCACTTATGTGCGTTTCAATTGAGATTGTCGTTTATATTCTAAACTTCTTAACATTGTCAAACTAAATGCCCACATGCACGCTTGTGATCTCTTCCATTAAAAAAAAAAACATAAAATATACTATATGCTACCTATATACCATAGCTTACTTATTTAAATTAAATTGTTTTGTTATTGCTTCACTTTATATCTCTTATTTTTTTTTGATAAAAAACCTTTTAAAATATAATCATACATATATTTTACAAGGTCTGGTACATAAAATAACAACATATATGTCGTTAACTTTTGAATAATCCTTATCTTTGTATATATTATAATTCTTTCTCGGTCAAAACTCTTTTTGGCCTGTTAGAACAGTCATGAATATTTTGAACTAAAGAGTATTATAGCCAAAAGTATTTCAGCTGAAAAAATATTGGTCACAGTAGGCGTTAAGACTGAAAAATACTGGTTAAAAGTAGTTTTTGACAAGACTGGTAGCACTTTTGATCCTGAATATTTAAAAAAAGTGTTTGATATTTCATAAAATGTTTATTGCTAATATTTTAGCACAACTATTTTTCCTATGTTTAATTACTTTTTCATCAACCCGACAGGATTAATTAGATGTCCGCAATTGAACGTAATGTCGTCGTCATATTACTTTTCCAAATATTCATGACAGTAGATTGAGGAGCAGCTGCGGACGCTCAGTTGATCCTGTCGGGCTTTCTGTTAGTGGTCGCGTAACGTCTGAACACCTTACTAATTGATATCATATTTTTACAATATATTGGTTTGGTCGAACGATGTTTCAGCTATGCCAAGATCGGAGAGGTGTCGCTGTGGTTAAGTTATTAACAAATACTATATTAACAAATCAAAATAAACTAAACTAAAATCGAAATTATGTTTTACATTTTTTTCTTTCAGAGAACAATTTATGACTATACTCCCTGAAGTGCAACAAGCCGCCGAGAAATGGGTTAAAGAAAATGACGAGTTGAAATCAATAGAAACAAAGTTACAGGATTGTCATCAACAGATGGCTTTGATTAAGGAAATAGAAGCTTATGGTCCTAATCTCAGTAGTCACCCTCTATACTCGATCTCACAGAAATATACATCGTACAAACAAGCGAAAAATGCCGTTGAAGATTCTATGAAGGCACTTATAAAGATATTAAATGACTTTGATACGCAAATTGAAAACTTCGCAGCAACAAATGAAGTATTGAACGGGCCCCAGTTGATGGCCTGGGTACAGGAATTCTCTGAAACAAGTGAAGACGATGAAAATTCTATTTTTGAACACATAAAAGAATTCATGACAAACGCTGGACAAAGTTCTATGATATCGCAATGCGAACAAGCAGAGACGGAGCTAAATCAGAGCATGCAACAAACAAATGTATTAGTACGATCTTGTTTAGAACTGTTATCGCAATATGTAGCTGTCTCGCAATACTATCCGCAGAGTCAGACTGAATATCACCGAATTGTAATGTTCCGCAAGTATCTGGCTGCAGCATTAGAGAGCAAATTACCGGAGGTGTGCCGTGACGTTTCCAATCAAGTGACAGCTTTGGTCAATGCGGATTCCAATACCGGTGATACGCAACAAATTATAGCATACAATTATCGCTTACAGCAGATAAATGCTGACGCAAACGCAAACCTAAATAAGTGTTTGGAAAGGTTGCAATTAGAAGGCGGACCCGATGCCATTGTATCAGCACAAGAAGCATACAAGGAAGCGAAAACTAACATAAGCAATTGGGTGAGATCAGAAGAAGGAGCCGCAGCTGCACTCGAGAGCGTAGTCGTTGGTATGCTTTGTAATTTGAATAGAAGATTTTTGATGCTGGAAAATGGAGCTCAGAGTGCAGGTGATTGTCTCGTTGACTTAACATCAAGGGAGGGAGAATGGTTCCTTGATGATATGAATGCCCTTTCGATGCAAGCAGTTGAATTACTTTCCTTGTTACCACTACAATCTGCGTCGGTAGAAGATGCTGCTATGTCGGTGGCTGTAGAATGCGTGCGGAATGCCAACCTTTTGTTAGCTGATTTAGTACAGCTTAATGACAATTACAGCACTATAATCTTACCTGAAGCTTTAAAGAAGGTACATTCCGAAGACCCTTCAGTACTTATAATGATTTCTGAACTGAATGCTGTCATTATGAACTCTCCTGTGCCACTGAATGATCTTCTTGCTCAACTGGAAATGCATTTCAGATATCTTGTAATGGACATGGAGGTAAATATTTATTGTACTAGATATTTATTTAAAAAAAGAGTATACATTCAAACTGTCTTTACGTTATTTTAGTCACCAGCAAGTGGTGCCCAAATTTTAGCTGCTGAGCTTCGAGCACGTTATGAAGCTCTGCTCTCAGCGTCATCTTCAGACTCAGATAATCAGTCGGCAGGACGTATGCTGCTAATGGGTTTTAATGGGTTATTCGCCGCTGTGGAGTTAAGGGCTAGGGAGTTAGCTGATCATTTAGCTGCACCTATACCGCCTGCTTGGAGAAAGATTGATCATATTAATGACGCAATGCACATGTCGGTAAGTGGCTATTATGTGTTTTTTTAGAAATTTATAAGATTCATACATCAACATCATAGTCGAATTACTTTTCTTTTAAAAGTATATAGATAAAACAGTTTATAATATAGCATGCTCCTATAATAATTTTTATTTAACTAGAGAAAAGAGTTTGAGCCAGCAAATTTTGGGCAGATATTTCTGATCTGGTCGCTGGTCTGGTCTGATCCTAGGTACTTAACAATATTTTAGCATGTCCACTACGAGACTAAGTGATTAGAGCACACTGCATGTCTTGGCTTGAAATGTCAGCAGGAGCCAATAGTGGTGAAAAATACTTATTATTTCTAATACTATGTATATTGCATATGCTTTACATCGCGATGAGGTGTCATTTCCTGCACTGTTGATAATTAATTGAAAACAGTGTTCGAAAGGAAGTAGTGCTGGTGGAGATTGAACTCTAGATGTTTTCGTACTGTGTCACTTACGGCAAGCCCCTACGCTACCATACCTATGCATGGTATTGCATGACAATAAGGGCATTCACGGCTTTTTCTACCACCAGGGTGAAGCTACTTATGGTCAACCAAATCTAAGAAATACATTTTGATAGCTGTCAGATTTATTGCACCAAGCATGCCAACCAAAAATGGGAACGTACAATATTCGATTCTTAAAAAAATCAATATCGATTATTTAGAGTTGGTAATCATTTACAGTTTGGTTTGAATAATACTAGAATAAATATAAAACGGATAATTTGAAACACAATATTTATCAGTTTCTTCGTATTTGTCGTTACTGCTTATTTCTAGAGGCACAGTTTGGCAAATTGAAGATTGAAACTGGGTTAAAAATAAATTTATTCAATCACTTTCAGTACAACTAGTTGAGCTGTCGTTTAGATTAATTATTATTTGATTTTCAATAATGCAGTCAAAATTAATTAGTTCTTACTACAAGGAGACTATCAACTGAACTACGTACAAGAATCATGCAATGCTATATTTGGCCTGTTATACTATACGGATGCGAATCTTGGACTATGAAAGAAGATCTCCGTAAGAAACCGGAAGCATTTGAAATGTGGATATATCGCCGTATGCTCCGAATAAGTTGGACAGACAAAGTTACCAACATTGAGGTCCTCAAGCAGCATGCATGAAAAGGAATAAGTCCCTACTTGTCAAAACCGTCAAACAGAGAAAAGTTGCGTACCTAGGACACGTGCTAAGGCATGAACGTTACCAACTGCTGCAGACTATTATGATGGGCAAAGTAGCGGGTAAAAGAGGTGTTAGTAGAAGGAAAATGTCCTCGCTCTTTAACATCCGGAAATGGGCCGGGATAAAGAAAGTAGAAGATCGGTTGAGGCTAGCCCTGTACATAGAAGAATTTAAGAGGATGACTGCCGACCTTCAGTATTGGAGAGGCACTTAAAAAGAAGAAGGCAAAATTAGTGTCTCTTTCAAAGTCATCCATAATCAATTTTTTTGTTATTTCTACCTTTTTTGCCCAATCATCCTTTGTGACATGGGCACATGCTTCAACAAATATAGAAAAAGCAGTTCAAAAAGTTAAAGCCGAGTCAAAAAATAAGAAGACAAACACAAAATCACAAAATTACGCACAGTAAGCTTCCGAAATGGCGGGAGATTGAAATTACGTAGTGGTTTTGTAAGCACGACTTTGGATATGAGTTTTTTGTCTACACAAATTTACGCTGATAAAGTAAAAAAAAAACTTATTTTATTCTTGATTCCTGTAATTTAAGGAATTTTAAAAATAAATATTTGATTAAACAAATAATACATTAAAAAAGTTAATGATTCGATTATTTGAATATTTTTACCGATTATTTGAATATTTTTGCCGATTAATCGCATAACAATGATTTTTAATCATCCAAACACTACGGTGAGGTACATAGCGACATATCATTGAAACGACGTCAAGTAAAAAAGTTAATACTGTTTATCTTTTTAATATTTTGCTTTGTTTGAAAGATTCGAATTTAAATTAGTGATAAAAATTATACACGTTGTAATGAAATATAGATAACTTCATAATTCCTCGGATTTACGTAAAAGGTTATTTTAAATCGTGTGAGTGCGCTTGTGCAAAGTTATTGCGGAATGATTGATGTGAAACGTCAAAAGGTATTTCTTAGATTTGGTTGACTATAGGAATGTGGTGAAATTTCTGACAGATTGCATGGCGGGGAAGTTAATTTGTTAGAAAAATGAAAGGCTTAATGTTTCTTTCTGAAATTTTAGTTAAATTTTATATTCAATAGATAAAACACCTAAATAAATAAAAAAGGCTAACTTAATATGAGTGCCAGAAGGGCGCTTCAGTACGCTTGTACTGTTCATAGGGTAATAAAGAGCAAGAAGTCTGAGTACCTATTTTAAACATTCCTATGGTTCAAAGATATTTCACATCGAAGCTTTCGTACGAACTCATAAAACCTGTTAAGTATGCCAAAACATAAAACAACGCGGTACAGGGGATGTTTTAAATTTACTGCAGCAAGAATATGCAACGATTTGCCACGTCCTCTGAGAAATAAAATGAGTACGGGAAGCTTCAAAGCCAAATATAAATCAGCATTGCATAAGCCGCAAATTGCTGCAGAAAATTTGAAACATGCCTACTGGAAATACATAAACATAAGAGACTTTTGAAATAATACTAATTTTACGGCTTCTATCGTGCTTAACTTTAACTTTTTTAATTCCTGACGTTTCGGGCACTTTCCAGTGCCTATGGTCACAGAGGAGACTGAGGTGTTTGACGTCCTGGTGTCATAGTTAACGAAGGCTACCTTCGTCCTTCCCGTGACCATGGGCACTGGAAAGTGTCCGAAACGTTAAGAGACTTTTATTTTATAAGATTTTAGTATAATATAATCCTTTGAAAAAAGGCATCCTAATGTATTAACTGAACAATCACACGCACGCACACATGCACACACGTACACACACACACACACACACACACACACACACACACCAAAAACAAGGGCGCGCGCGCACGCGCACTCGCACGCATGCGCACACGCGCACACGCACACGCACGCACACACACGCGCCCGCGCACACGCACGCATCCGTGATAATGCAAGAATTATTAATAAATAATTATGATATTTCACAACTATATGTGTAATTCCAACATTAGATGAGTGAATGATAGACATGATTGAGGGAACTCACAATTCTTACGACATCCATGTAACATCTCAGGGAGGAAGGAGTGCCAAAACCAGCGCTTAATGGGATCTTAGTCCCATCTAAGTAAAAGCTGAGTCATCGCCGATTGCCTTAATTAAGATTAAGTACCTAGTTTATATGTAAACATGTTTTTCGAATGTGGCAATAAAGTCGCCGTCCCAGTCCCAGACTCGGAACGGAGTCCCAGTCGCCTCAGATGACCCGAGAGGCTGACTGGGATTAGCCCATTCGCAGAGACGACTACAGGAATAATTTCGGTCGGCATACCACCCCACATGTCGGTCACCTCGTGAGCCAGGTCCAGATATTTTGTTCGTTTCTCTGTTTCGGCTTTCACGAAATTCTCGTCATACGGAATGGTAATGTTGACCAAAAATATCCTTGACTGTGCCCGGTCCATCAGCACAATATCAGGCTTATTCGCAAGAATAGTCTGTGATGATGGCCCGGTCCCAGTAGAGCCTGGCGCGGTCATTTTCGAGCACGGCTTCCGGCAAGTACTTGTAATACGGCAATTTTCGGTCCACGAGACCGTATTTCAGAGCGAGCTCCTGGTGTAGAATTCTGGCTATTAGGTTGTGCCTGTGCAAGTACTCAGAGCAAGAAAGCGCCGAACCGGAGATGACATGCCTAAGTGACTCAGTCGACAGTGCCATCCTTTAGGATGTATCTTCGATAGTTGTTGGTCTTAATAACCTGATCCTGTATTGCGCAGACAAAACCCTCGGATTTCCCCGAAGAGGTCACCGAAACGTAGCCAGTTGAGGGAGGCGGCTGTATCTACGTGAGGCTCATATAGAGCCCTGTAGTACCTCCCGTGGAGCTCCTTCTCCTTCCATATGGTCTCCCGGTCGGAAATGCTCTGTACTGCCGGGTCTTGCCATTGCTCGTTGGCTAAGGATAGAGGGGTAAGTCCTTTATCACTAGAAATGACGTCATTATAGAATGGATCATCCGATCTCGCCAGGAAGTAATGACGGAGGCTGCACACTTCGCGATTATGCATGGTGAGCGCGCTCAGGAAGCCACGGCCACCATGCTTACGCGGCAAGTACAGCCTCATTACCGACGATCTCGGATGATGCATCCTATGGGACGTCATTGTAGTGCGGACTTTTCTATCCAGAGCGTTAAGTTCAGTCTGACTCCACCTGAGCATGCCAAAGGTATACATGAGGACAGACATGACCCAACCGTTATATGCATGTGTCTTATTCACACCGGACAAAAGGCTGTTAAGCACTTTAGTCAAGCGTGCATAAAACACGTCGCAAACTGACTGTTTCATACCAGCCTCATCGATACCGATGTTCTGTGACATACCCAGGTATCGGTATGTTTCAGCCTCGGAAAGGGCCCTTAAGTTGACGGGTTCAACATGGAGGACCGCACACTTATCCGGCCCCAGTTCCATTCTAATAGAATTGCTAAATTCACAAGTGATGTTTAGCAATTCCATAAGATGGTAGCGACTGGAGGCGAATAATTTGAGGTCATCTATATAGAAAAGGTGGGTTACTTTTGTACTTCCTTTCCGAAGCTGAAATCTCCTCCCGGAGCCCTCCAGTAAAGTACTGAGAGGGTTCAAAGAGAGGCAGAACCAGATTGGACTCAGACAGTCGCCCTGGAATATACCCCTTCTTATCCTTATGCGGCTTTCCGCAGCCGTCATCCGCTCGCCTAGATAACAGAGGATCGTACTCCACTGCCCCATACACTGCTCGAGGAAGTCTCGAACTGTACAGTCAATCTTGTACAGCTCGAGGACCCTCTTTAGCCATG